AGAGAGAGAGAAATATCCGATTAAAACAAAATTTCTTATTAAAGTTAAATTTCGAATGACATTTCTATCTCAAAATTACATTTAAGCTAACAATTCAAAAATTAATTTATCTAAATTCAAAAGTCATTAATAAAATAATTATTGCCTGTAAATATCATAAAAATTATTCATAAAAAAATTATTCATAATTTTTATCCCCCATTGTTAATATTTCTATTTCAACTGACTAAATCACGCGAAATATATTATTAAAATATATTATTAAATATATATTATTAACGACGTGATAAATAAGTGATATTGTCGCTTTGATACGTTTTACAAATATCTACATGTATATACCGATTATTTACGATTTGTTACAAATTATTTGCATATCTTCTTTCTTTTAATATATGTTTTAAATGTATAATGTATTAAATAGTATTGTTATCAACTATTTGAAAAAATTATTAAATAAATAAACTCGTCATTTTATTATTGTACGAAAAATACTATATATTTAACAATCAAATTTTGAAATAAAAATTGAAAAACAGTGTTACTGTATAATGTTGAATTTCCGTTACCGTTGTTCCTCAGGTAGAATAATACATCAAATATAAATATCTAAAGCGAAAAATCAAATACAACGAGTTATGCAACTTTACATGAAAGTACCAGATCGTAACCGTCAATAAAAATGTGTGCGATGATATAAGTAAAAATATATTTTTTTTGATTATTGTAAAAAGCTCGCGAAATCTCAGCAATGTCGAACTGAATGTATCGAAAACAGAAAGTCACAGAATTGTCGTACGAAAAAACAAAAAATCGTATCGCATTTCTCTTGAGATTGATGGAATACCGCCATACATCATACAAGAACAGCAGAAACCCTTTAATCATAAAATTAGGAATTAGTAATTACGAAACTAGTGAATGTCGTACATATTCGAATGTTCCGGCATATAATTTTAATTGATTGCACCTAGTGCATTATTCAATCAGATCAGAATATAAAAAAATATTCATTTTTCGTTACTGTTTATGTCTTGTCTTTATTATCTTATCCTTTGTTCGATGCACATGTATGTAATCGAGATATAAAAAATTGAAAGTACAATGAAACATGTACGTTGTAAGAGTACGCAAAAAATAATACAATGAAACTCATTACAGAACGTTGTATTTTTAATTAGAATATTAAAAAATTATATCAACAGAATCCAATTTAATACAGATATTTCTTGCCAGCTCTTGTAATACTCGGAAACCAAAAGGGATTTTGCTATTCTTTACTTATCTCTTTCTTTTTTTTCTTGTTTTCTCTTTCAATAATCCTTTACTTCATACCTTTCTTCATCCTATATCTTTCATCATTCTCTCTTTCACCTTGTCCGATCAAGCGTTGCCATCAGTAAAGCAGATATCGTTGCATCAAATCGTTTAAAACTTAGAGAATAGGCACTAAAGCAAAGCAAAGTTTACTCCGGAGCTCTTTAATATATCTTATTAGAGACGGTGTGGAAGAGACTAGCTTATTATTTAATGATAATTACGAGCTTCTAAAGGAAGATTCGAAGATATCCTCAACTTTCCTTTCATTGAACCAACAAGAAGCGATAACGCAGCGAGATATTGTATGTAAACGGAAGATTGATTAACGCCGGATTCTAGATACGCAATGTGCATTAGCTTAAGAGCGTATGATTTTCTTAAATAGTTGTTTTATTCACCTTTTCAAATCAAAACGATATGTTACATAAAAAAATCGAAACGTCAAATGACATTGCACGAATTCATTCTGATAAAATATATAAGAAAACTTTTTTATCTTGTAAAATTCTAAAACTTATCGCCTATTTTTTATAAGATTCTTTAAATTAAAAAAATAGTAATTATCGAAACGTAATGCATAAATAGATGAAAATTGATTAAAAGTTGAGAATTTAAATTTTTGCAATTAACTATCGTAACAAATAACTAGCTTAGGATTTCATAGAACAATAGCGTGCAGTACAATTCTATTGTTTTACAACATTTCTAGCAGATGCTGCAATAATCACCTTCCACTATTCATACGTGATAAACCCGTATAATTAGTCTGTGTATGTTGTTAGTAGTAACATGTAGTTTCATGAGCGAACAATTGTTACAATTCTAATTGTAATATAATTGCGCCTTATCGAGACGCAATGACGTTTCAACATTATTTGTTAGACTCCCATTAATGAAATTTACCCTTTGTAACAACCTAACGCATAATTGTTGAAAATCAAGTTTCACGTAAGTTACATTCAAATATCGAAAGTAATGTCGGTTCTGCGTTACATATGAAGCCGATTATTCCATGGCGATATTCATGTAGAGATCGAAACACAAATACGCAATACAAAACTCGCAATATTTGTTATTGTGTAAATATTATAAATCGGAAAATTAAATTCAGTAGGGATATATGTAGATGTATATCGAATATATGTCCCTTACGGCGGATTTAATCGTATTACATCATATATATATATATTATATTATATTACAACCTCAAATGCTCTATGAACGTCCAAAAATATCACGTTTAAATGCTACTTATAAAATATGTTGTAATATGTTGTAATATAAGTCATGTACCTTGGCACATTATTGTGATAATATGCAGTATACTGATGGTCAAGTATCGACTTCTTCTCTGTCGGTCCGCCATCTTTTCGTCGATATTCACTTCAAGTCCCGAAATTAATCTGAAATTTTAAAAAATTTCAATCAGTTATGAGAAAGAAATTAATGAAATTTTAAATTAATAAAAAAAAAATTTTGTTTTATTATTTAAATTTGAAGAAATTAATGAAATTTTATCAAATATATTTTTTTGTATTATGATATCCCATGCTACTAAATTTAACTGTCTCCTTCCGCTAAACTGAAATAAGATAAGAAAACGCGTGAGAGTGAAACGCGCATAAAAACGATCGTAAGTAACGAGACGTATTTATTATTAATAACTCAGTTTGCCGCGATCGTTACACACGCTACTCGTGTCCGTGAGATCATAGATTATTAGTGATGCAGATTATTAGTGGTCTTCAGCAAATAACCCTATTCTATCATTAAAGGTACGATATAAATCTAACACAATACATGAGCTTAGCGAACATATGTACATGTCAATCTGGCATAATGTATAGGACCAAATGCATATTGCAATGTTGCAATATGCCGATTGGTCGGAAACGCATACAACCGTGAAATCATTAACGCATGGCTAAGTCGGTGTAATACGAGGATACAGTAATTAACAAACGTCCAATGTTAATCAGACTTATCGACTTGAAATGTGTGTACACCGTTCAACAAGATGCAACTGCTATTTACGACACAAGTTTGTATTCGACATCGGTACATTTCAATGAATATTAATTAGAACAAAGATTAGATTAACCAAAGATGATTCAATGAATAGAACAAATTATCATCACTTCGACGTAAAGCAATAATTTTAAAAAGAGATAGATACATAAAATGTTATTTAAAAATTTATAAATGAACGGAGATTCTGAGAGTAATGAGAGTCCTTTTATTTAATCTGTACGTGCCACACTTTTCATTTAATATATAAACCAAACGTAGAGAACTATGTATTCATCTAACATATCACATATATGTAAATCTGAAATACACAACGTATTTCATATCTATTACTTCTCCCTATAATAACGAATTCTCTAATTTTTCATTCGCTCTTTAGCAAAGATATTATTGAATCTCGATGTTCTTTTTAATATCGATGTTAGATATATTTTAGCTAAAGGTTATAATGCCACTAAAGTTTTTACAGACTATATATGGATATTTAAAGTGCAAAGAGCCTTCTAATATTACGCGCGTAATGTGCAATTCATAATGTTATCACGAGTTTTACTAGATATATAACGGGGATTTCCATAACGATGCTACGTTGATACTCGAGTAAAACGGCCTGCGTCGCCACAGCCCTGAATCCTACTATCGCGCTCGCTCCATAATTAGCAAACTGAGTTACGTAACACCGTTATAGTAACGCTCGCGTTCCTTTATCTATTTTTCTCGTAAACTTGTTCGTGACAGGCTCATGGAAAAATGCTCTGCACGGAGAGCTCCGCATGATTATCTGTTGACGTTGATTATTTCTATTTGTAGAAATACAGGTCGTTGATAAATAAAGAGTGAGAGATAAATAAATATAATCCAAGAAGATCATATGAAGAGACAGGTTAAATATAACATTGCTATCTACAAAAATAGAATACGAGAAAGAGTATAATTAAAATGTAAAGTTTATCCCTTCTCTCTCTCTCTCTCTCTCCTCTCTCTCTCTCTCTCTCTCTCTCTCTCTCTCTCTCTCTCTCTCTCTCTCTCTCTCTCTCTCTCTCTCTCTCTCTCTCTCTCTCTCTCTCTCTCTCTCTCTCTCTCTCTCCTTTTTTTTTTTTTTTTTTTTTTTTCTACTCTCCTCTCTCTCTCTCTCTCTCTCTCTCTCTCTCTCTCTCTCTCTCTCTCTCTCTCTCTCTCTCTCTCTCTCTCTCTCTCTCTCTCTCTCTCTCTCTCTCTCTCTCTCTCTCTCTCTCTGTCTCTTTGATCATAATTTTACTAAAAATACTTATAAATTCACAATTTTCTAATAAAAAAGTACAAACAAATCAGTCGAAAAATAATTTTGTTTGCATCAAACATTGGTACGCGCCTTTTTTCTTCAAAAAAAAAAAGCAAACGAAAAATTGTATGCGATTGCCAAATGTTAAGATCTCCGACACTTTGATTATATGCAAATACATAAGCATGTCACGCAAGGAGTCACGTAGTTTAGGTATCTCCGTGTTATGTCACGTCTACTCGGTAAAGACCGCAGTTAGTGCATGCTAAACTTTGAAGGCACAGCTATGTTTACGCTCGAGAAACGAGCATCCGAGAGACCAAACGCCGAACAGTTATGAGATGCATACCGAAGTTGAGACGAAATTTTGATATTAATTCTTTTAGTAGAAAAGTTTCCTTAATAAAATTGAATACATGTATATCATATGAATATATTATTTTTTAAACAAATAAATAGTTAAAAAGTAATTATTTTCCTACTGTTTTCTAAGCCTTACTGGCCTAATGCATTTCTATTCTTAACTATATAATAAAATTTATGTCCATTATATCCTTTAAATTAAAAAATTTATAACGCAATAGATAGATGGAAGAGAAATCGAGTATCTTAACATATCTATTCTCATTATTGTTTTTTAAAATGTTATTCTAATTCCTAATTGTTTTAACTTCAAAATACGTTACAAGTAGCAATATACGTATAATTACCGATCGATTCTTGATGTATCATTAATTAATATTATAACAGTGCTGTGTGTTCGCGCGATTAATTTAGTTTTCAGAAATTAGTCTAATTATCGAGTGATGCCGTATCAATCGCGCTATTGCTCCGGCGCCATAACGATCATTATATTATCGCGCTACTGTTTACAGTATCACCGTACTGCCCGGTCGATCTCTTTTGGTGGAACGGCACCACATCGATAATTTAATGCAATTGGCATACGACAAGTAGTACAAGTCGAGATTTGCTACGTCGCGTCGCGCCGTTGCGTCGCTCCCGGCTACGGTGGCCGAGATTTACGAGGCGATTTACAAATTGGCGGTTATTGTGCCCCGCTTCGGAATGAAACTGTCCCTTAAATCAAAACGTCTGCCGGCGTTCATTAAACGTCAGGCCAATCCGGGAAATCGCGGATCGGGCTCGCGGTGCTTCCGCCGTCCGTTACCGCCTCCTCCTTCGTCTAGCCTGACCTACCCTAGCGCTTCCACCTCCGCTTCCGTTATCCGTGTCTGCAATCCCATCGTGCCGTGACGTGGTGCGGCATGCTCCGAATTTGTCGGATCTGTCGTCGATAAGCGTAAATCGGACGGTGGCGTTGTTTTCCCGAAACAACGCCAAAAACTGCCGAGGGGTAAACACGCGATGTCGAGAGCAGTTAAATTTTTGCGAGAACGTCCGCGCGTATCGACGCAGTCGAATCCGTCGACTTAAATCACGCCCCATTTTAATCAATCGATTTGGTCACCGTGAGGTCCTCCACTTTATTCTTCCGATTGGCTAAACTTTTGTATTTCTATTCTCCACGTTAATAAAAATTGGGACGGACAAACTCGTTTCATGAAAACTAAATTAATCGGAAAATTAAAATTCAAAAAATTGTTGACTTATTTTTGTGTCTCTTAAACGGGAATATTTAGTAGTTTCACGGAGATATTATACATATGAATTAATCGAAAATCGAATCAAGGTGAACGATCTTCATGAATGACTTTCAATTATGATAATTTATATCATTAATAATCACAAATAATATCACTGATGGTGATACTCGTACTCGAAAATTATATATTCGTACTTTAAATTCTGAATGTAGACGACGAAGGAAAAAAAGAAGGTAATATCAATTAAAAATATAAATAAAAAAATATAAAATTTGGAAGGTACATGCTAACAAATATATATTCGAATTATATCGTTTTGTCAGTAAACTATCGCAGCAATTCTCTGCCATTTTCGACGAACATTCGATGTAGTTAATAACGTACGTAATTAACTCTTATATCATAAACGTAAAAGCAAACGAAAACATCGACACAATTGCCTCCCAAGAGCCAAGAGATAGCTTCGGTCATAACAAACCCGCAACGTTCGATACAGGACAACGTCTTTATTTTCTTTATAGCGGACATTACTTTTATTATCCATCGTCATAAAAGCACGGGTGAGAAAAACAGCTGGCTCAGAAGAAATGTTACACGACTTCTTGTTACACAACGCGGACGATCGCCGATGTTCAAGTTGATATACTCATCCACCAAAATCTCTTTTTTTTTGTCCATTAGCAATTAGTGATTGCAACACAGTCGATAAAAAAGCAGAATGAACGCGATATCAAACTTTAACTTGACTAGTTTATACATTTATAACAAGACAGTATTTTCTTATAAATAAATGGAAGACACTAAAACTAATGTATTTCTTTAACTTCTGAAAATAAACCTTTCCAGGAATTAAAGTTGTGATCATGTCGAAAATAAAAAGATCAATTCAATTAAAGAAAATGTTTAGAGATTTGAAATTTATTCTTGTAAAAAGCAGAATGTACATTAAACGTGTTGTATAAGTTGAGAGATAAAGAGATAAAGAGATAAAGAGATAAAGAGATGCTTTTTCAATCGATAAACTTTTGCATCTGGTAATATCAGAGTCAAGTAAAAAGTTGCGAAAACTTGTCCAATTGTGCATCATTGGGATTTTTATACAGCCGTCACGGGCATATATAAAAAGCAGAAACGGTGTCGAGTCGATTGAAAGTTTGCGAGATGCGGAAAGTCCGGTCGTTCGATGAATGTCTGTCGAGAGGAGAGCTAACTCGCAATAAACGCGACTATAGAAAATAAATCCTCCGATAAAGTTAAAGGAGCGATGCGATAAATCTCGTTAATTCACACGATTTAAGGGTAATGTACAAGATATGATAAGTAATGTCACCAGTTAATAAATGTGTTGTTGCGCAATTTTGACACACAGAATGTGTCCGCGTAATTTCAACTACAAACTTATAACATGATAAACTGTGTCTTATAAAGTGTATCGCACACGATATGCATCGATTTATACGTACAAATAACACATACAAATAAAAATTTTATTCTCCTCGAAATATAATTTACAATTTTTTATTTGATCGTATTAATGTCAATTTAATATATCAAAAATATTTACTTTATACAAAATGTTAAAATTTAATCTATTTTATTCCGATTTCGCGTTTTATACCTGAAATTAATACCTGTCGCACAAAATATCACTTTTTTGTTTTTAAACACGATGTATTATTACGACATAAAATTTCACGTTATATATTACAAAATCATTTGCCGACAGATGCAAAAATAATAGAATTAATTCTCGAATTGCAGCAACATCGAACAACGACGCACTCGAAATATAATTATTCGTCATTCGGAAAGCATAAAGGTGTCGCTGGGGGACATCTAATCATAAATTTTCGATTATGGGCAAGAGACGTATAATTGCATGCGTCCCGTTCTTGATATCAGCATCTCGCTGCGTGTGTGGATCTCTCCACGCAAAACTCCACGACAAATCGTAAACGCAAACACGCGCAGAACGCGACAAAACACTCGTAATTGCATTCCGGAAGTGAGCAGGTTGAAAAGCTGCCCGGCACATATTCTCGGTATCGTTTTGTAGCCACGGATAATTGCTGACACGCGATCTGAACCGCGTTTTAGCGTGCGTCCACCTACGGAACCACATACGCAATTATCACTATTCCATTACGAACGCATGCTCGATTACGACACGCGATAAAAAATTAAAAACGGTATCCCTTTGTTCTAATTTCCTAATAACGATGTTGTTAAAAGTTCGACGATGATTATTCCAATGCTTGAGAAACACGCGAACGGAGCGAAGGAAGAGATATATCAAAATATTTGAGAAACGCCGGGATGAAATAGCAGGAAAGTACCAATAGAAATATTTAACTTCTTATATATATTTCGTATTTATCATTTTCTCTCTGTAGACATAAATCTTTCTTTAGACAAAATAATTCACTCTTTAAGATATATATATATATATATATAGAGAGAGCGTTCTTTTTTTCCATTAAGCGGAGCATCCGGTTTCACCGAAGGATTGTATCTAACATCTTTTTCTTTACTTTCCCACAAAAATGATTGGGAACTCAGTCGCGCCTCGAACAACGTTCTCGGGGACAATCGCAGCTCAGCTCATTTATCTATTATTAAAAGTTTTTAACTACCGGCGTCGTGCGGCGGCTGCAGACCACGTTAAGGCGGCGAAGACGAGAAAGGCGGAAAAACGATAAGAAAAGCATCAGAGAAAAAAAGAACGTGCAAAGAGGAGATGAAACTCTTTCGCGGGAGTTTCTCCCGAATACAGCGAACAACCGTAAGAATGAGCTCATTCAGATCAGCATTTCTTAACGAGGAAAGTTGCAGTTACTAACGGGATTTGTGTACGCCGCGACAAACAGGATCTCAGGAGATTACAGAAACTCGACGACCGTAGGCGTGTTTTTGTGCAAGCCGAACGAGAATAGCGCTGTATTACGCGTGACAATCCATATTCATAGAGAAGAGCGCAAAAGCGCGACAATATATAAGCATTGATAACGCATGCTTATTATGGAGCGATGAAAGAAACGCTCGGATACGTTACTCGATCGACAACACATATGTCTGGCTGCGAGAGCCCTTCGATTCGAGTACTGAAGTACTCGGCCGAGTAGCAGCGAGAACCGTTTGAAGACATCGAGGGAAAGTTGGAGTGATATCAAGGGAAAAGAAAAAGAAAAAGAATGAGAGAGTGAAATGAGAATGTCGGTGATGTTACGTCGTCTTTCCCCAACTGTACCACTCTCTGATTTTAATAATTGACTTGGAGTGTCGAAGTAATCTTTTTAACCGGTAGTATATCGATAATATTTCAATAAAATAGTATCTTAAAAATGAATTAATGAATTAAAAGATCAAT